TTAATGAATGTATTGGTTTAAAATTTGTGCTCTATTGGTTGTTTTTTGTTTTCTACCAACCTTTGCTTCTGTGACAACGATCTATTGTGATGTCCTTATTGGGCTAGTGTAACTCACCCCTTATTTAACCATTTCAGATCAGGAGAACCCAGTTCCCAAGCCCGATCCGCAAGAAGGTTACGAGTAGATGCTAGATACTTTATAGTTTCCTTTATTTTTTTTTCTATTTTTCGTATTTCTTTCAAAAAATTTGTTCCGTGATGTTTGTTAGTACTTTTGAGTTATCGTGTAAGGGATGTTAATCTTAACCTTTATTTCACTTCCGCACTCAAATTATTATATGCATTTCTTTTTAAATTTCCGGGGCCGTTACACATTCATATTACGAAAATGTATATAATGAAACTTGTATATTATTTGAGTTGGCTCCAAATATTTAGTGCAAGAAGAGGAGATTTCTCTATTGGTTTTTGTATTTTACAGAGAAGAAAAATTTGATATGCACTAGTATTGCCTTAAGTTAAACATATAGTATGAAGACCATACAATAATATTGTTATTTATATATTTGATTACCAATATATGTTATAAATTAATGTTTTGTATTATTCCTTTATTCTTTGTCAGCAAGCTAGGAAGGTTGTTATTTGTAGGGTGAGCGGGGTACATTCTAGAAGTTGATGTATATTCATTTTATTTGGCTTGTTAGTTATTCCTTCTTGTATATAATCATTCTCTTAGTTGTACATAATACACAGATGATCAATATGAATTTTATCTACCATTTTTATCAATACCTTCTTCAAGCTATTTTCTGTGTGTACATGGTATTAAAGCTAAAGCTCTTGATTTAATATTTTTTTTCTTTACCTGTTCTTCATTTTTTTTTTAGACATATGGATGGAGAAGAGGATATTGTTGCAAGGGTCTCACAAACTCTTACAAATGGAAACCCATTAATAATACATGGGTCTAAAAATCCAGTGGTATCTCTTGTTACAACTCCTCTTACGGGAAGTAACTATCTAACTTGGAGTACTGCTATCAAAATCTCTCTAGAAGCTAAAAATAAAATTGACTTTATTCTGAAGAGATCAGAAACTAGATTAAACAAGTAAAGAATATGCTAAATGGAAGAGAGTGGATTCCATGGTTAAATCTTGGATTCGTGGCTCTATTTCAAAGGATCTTGTAGATTCTTTCATTTACTATCTTATTGCTCAAGATTTATGAAATAAAATTAAGCTGATATATGGGATCTGTAATGGGTCTCTCTTATATCAAATCCAAAGAGATATTGTCTCGATAGAACAAAGTAGTAACTTTATTATTATGTATTACAATAGGATGAAAAAGGATTGAGATGAACTTAATTGTTTGACCCCGATTCCAGTTTCATATTGCCAAGGTTGCAATTGTAATGTTACAAAGAGAATGAATGCGATGGATTCATCCAACAAACTTATTTAATTTTTAATGGGTCTGAACTCATCATATGAAGGAGTTAGAAGTCAAATCTTTATGTTGGATCCATTACCCTCTGTAAGCAAGGCTTATTCAATGATTTTGCATGTAGAAAAAGAAAGGCAAGTGATTGGCTCTGCTACTGATGCTGTTGAAAATAGTGCATTACTGGCTAGATCCAACTTTGAAAATGAGAATGTTAGAAAAAAAATTTCTAAAAAGAAGGACATGAAGAAGGAGATAGAATTTGTGAACACTATAATGCTCAAAGTCACCTGAAGGACTCATGCTTCAAAATACACGATTATCCTGACTGGTGGAAGGACTTGAAGAATCAGAAGGGAAAAACCGAACAAAAAAAAGTGGTAGCCAACATGATTGGTGTTGCTGATCCTCCTTTTGACTTGGGAGAAACTGACTGGATCAAATTTACATCTATTATTCAACAAGAGATAGTCAAGTTTATGAAATGTAAAAAACTAAGAGAGGTAGAACAAGCCATGTTTGCTCATGGGATAAAATTTACAGGTATATCATTAAAAGATGCTCTATTCTCATTTAGTAAAAATTTCAAATCTATTATGTGGATCATAGACACAGGTGAAAGCACGCACATGTGTTTTAATAAGGAATTGCTTCATGGAATGCATCATATTGGCTTAAGCACACCTGTATAGTTGCCTGGTGGAACCACAAAAACTATGAATCAATTCGGTACTATTTTTTTACACCCACGCATACCATTGAAGGATGTGTTATATGTTCCTCATTTTCATTATAACATTTTTTTTGTTAATAAGACTATCAAAACCTCTAACCTGATATTTATCTTTTATCCTGAATGTTGCTTGATACAGGACCTAAAGAGTGTTGATGTGTTTGTAGTCTGTAAAGCATGCACGTTTGAGCTGATGTGTCCTTTTCTGATCTTAATTCCTTTTCCATTAATGTTACTGGTTCCATGCATGATTCCCATCCAGAGTCTTCACAATCTCCTCAAAATATCTCAAATTTTCTTCATATTCATGAGTCTGTTCAATCACTCAGAGTCAGCACCAGACACAGAACCAAACTTGCATGGATGAAAGATTTCATTTATCATTCTGCCATCACAAATAATATACCAACTACATTGCACATGCAGCCTCCAGGTTCGATGGTCAGAGATTACACACCTCCAACTTATCCACATTAGGTTTCTTCCAATTTTTTTATCATCATATATATAGCTTATCTTGCAAATATTATTGCTATTGCAGAACCATATTCCTATAAACAAGCTATTAAACACAAAGAGTGGGTAGTTGCTATGCAATGGGAGATTGATGCTTTAGAAGTAAATGATATTTGGGGACTCACAACTCTTCCTACAGACAAACATGTTATTGGCACAAAATGGGTTTATAAAGTTAAGTTTCTTCCAGATGGAATAGCAGAACGATTCAAGGCTCGATTAGTAGCCGAGAGATACAATCAAATAAAGGGTGTTGATTATTTTGAAAGTTTATCTCCAGTAGCCAAAACAATCATTGTTAGACTCTTCTTAACTCTTGCTACTACTAAAAATTGGTTCCTCCACCAATTGGATATCAATAATGTGTTCATTCATGGAATACGTGATGAAGAAGTTTATCTCAAACTTCCTATTGGTTACTCTAAAACTTCT